GGAGGAGGGATTCCTTCTGAGGCCGGGGAAGAATCGGATGGGTACCCCGTCGTTTTGCATGGGGGAGGGGCCTGATGGCGAGTGGTCCAGCTAGACTGGTCGCATTGAGGCGACCAGTTCTCTGTTGTGGACTTAACTTTTTTTCTCTCTCACAAAATCCATACCAATAATCACTACACTGGTGAGTGTTAAGTTTAGGGATGGGGGGATGCAGGAATGTTAAGAAAGAGGCGCCCCAACCAGGTCCTGATAGGCTTTAAATAAGAAATTGAGTCAAGAGATCGTGGTGTCCGGTAAGATGGAAGAGTGGGGCTCTGAGTTGCTGACCTGTCCTAATTTAGCATCTTTACTCTGTGTCCAAGTTTTCACTCCCAGGGATAGCCTCTCAGACTGCGTCTAACGTCCTGATACGTTTCTCTCTTGAGTGTTTGGCATTGCGCCTTCTTTCAAAGCCACGATTTAACCAAACCAATTAACAAACGGAAATCCAACTTTTCCTGTCTAGCCCACTCTGCCCCATACTTAGATTTAAAAATAAGGAACTCTTTCTTGTCCAAGTGTCTAAACTCTCCAAAGAACGTAATTTTCAAATCGCCCTTCATAAACAGGGGCATTCAAACTTTTAAAGGTTAGGGAGACAAAAGTTCTTTTTCATGATAATTTCTGGTTTGGCATTCAGTCCGTGAACTGGTGAATCAGGCTTCTTTTAGGCCTTGTAATAATGTAAGGGAAAAGGGAAGACCCCCAAAACCCGCATTTCAGTTCTCTTCTTATCTCTTAATTGTTTTATGTCATTTGTCAAATTCTTTCATTTACTCAACCTTAAGTGATTACTCTGTGCTACAGAAATTTTTGGACAATAAAATAATGAAATTCTGTTTCCTGCCTGTAAAGTGCTCGTAATCTGGCTAGGGAGAGGAGGGTGGAACAGGGGAAGGGGAAGACTCACTAGTAAACCAGGCAGATTACAATTAGAAGCAGAGTTGAGATTGATCCTTCCTCTGTAAACCCGTGCCCATCTCTGAGAGTTGAGAGGATACATGAAAGATAATAGGCATGAATCAATGTATATTACGGTGGTGATAAACATACGCTGTTACTCACTTTTTTCAAACCACCTCCAAGGTGGAGAGAATTCTGAGGTTCTACAGGATTTTTTTTAATCTCACAAGACATACGTATCTCATCCAACCTCTAACAGGATCCTTTTGAAAATATACCAGCAAAAATTTCCCCTAGAAACTTGACATTTTTGTCATTTTCTGATTCTTAAAAACTACAAGTGTTGTTTTGCAGAACAATTTCCATTTAATAGATGCAGATATTTACTAGGTTAAAATTGGAAAATCAGTGTTCACAGTCATCTAAATTATCCGTTTCAGTCCATGGAGAATAGGACACGATATATGCACTATTTAAAATAGGTCTTCTAGCCAGCCCTGTGTTACAGCCTCAGAGGTAGTCTTCTAATATATTTTGATTCCCCATAATTTTACCTTTTACTGGTACTTCTGCCTACATTTAACAAAGAAGTGTATTTTAGTTCATATAACTGTGTTCTCGAAAAATAATAGGTAAATCAATGAGAATCAAGTCACTGTAATGTAGTATTTAGTGGTATTTTTCTTGTTGCAAGCTTCCTTTATACATACAATCATTATTTTCTGTGCTTAATTGTTTTCATTTGTAGTGCTTTCTTAAATCATGGACCAGTTATAACCATTTTTTTTTTCTCCATCTCACCCACCCTTTTTTTAGTTCCCTATTTCTAGAATGAGAAAATTTGAAGAAATAAACCAAGATTTCTACCACACATGTATGTTGTGACTAGTGATGGGTCTGTTGACGTAGTGGTCTTTTTGTATCTCCATGATTGTTTTACGTAAGGTATTAACAACATGCTTGAAATTAAACCAAATGGATCAGAAAATAGCAAAGTGATATTTTTAAAGTTTGTTTTTGGTCCAGAGCAAAAGTGTGTGCTCATTTTTATGACTGCTCAACTAATGTATTTTTACTTAAAATTGTGACACCAAGAGCTTGAGTCCACACTTGGATTAGTACTTACAAGAACTTACACTGTGCCAGTGTAAGCTTGCCTTTGTCCATTTTGTTTGCTAAAATAAGTGCGATGTGCTATCCCTTTATAAAATAACTTTATACAGTATGTGTAATGAGAAAACAGATAATGACCATGGAAATGTTAATGGTTATACTTTATAATTTCATTTCTTTGCCATGAAATAATTGGCAATAACCACCAGCAATATAATGACGTTAGGTATGAACTTGACTTAGTTGACTGCACTTCTTTTTCTAACAGTGCAATAAAAACAGCAGAGAACTCTGGGGTGGTTATAATGAGACTAATTTGGAAGTAAGAATTCTGAGATTCCTTTTCTAAATTTTTGAAACACTTCTACTGGGTAGATTACTGACCATTTACTTAACTTTATCTTGCTTAATTGTCCTGGCACACAGCAGAATGGAATTTTTTGTGGAAATTTTTGTTACATATAAGGTGGTTTTTCAGATAGAGTGATTTTCTTTCATTTAGAGAAGTGATTCACCCTTTTTTATTTTCATAGTTAACTCACATTAGCCCTTGCTTCTCCTGGTTGATAAAGGAAATAGGTTTTCTATGCTACCTAAATATAGCACTTGATTGTATATAATTTAAAATAGTATATGCATATTTGGCTTATTCAACACAAATCAACAGTTTGCTCTGTTTGGCAGATGGTAACCACTACATGAGCTACATTCTATTAAGTACCCTAGTGGGTAGGACTTAGAAAGACCTGCTAATAGGGAAGCTTTAACTTAGGAGGTTTGTTACATAAATTTTACTTTAGAATTTTGCATGTTTGAATAATGTAAACAGGTTCGTGGATGGTGGATTGATAATCACCCACAGTAGACCTTTTTCTGTAGTGTACAACAAAACTAGGAAATAAAACTTACTAAATTGGAGGATTTATAGATATTATTTCCTTATCTCCTCTTTCATCTTGGTAGTATTTGAAATTAAATCATCTATAAAAAACTAGAATGTGGCATTTGAAATAAGCTATTCATTTTCTGATATTTATATAGACTTTACAAACCACTGTGTAGATAATTTGTCATTAATACATATATATATTAAACAATAAGGTAGCCTTCTTAAAAAAAAACCTCTTAATAGAGGGTATGGTGGTGCACACCTCTAATTCCAGCACTCAGGAGGTGAGGCTCAAGTATCACCATGGGTTCAAGGTCAACCTGGGCAGCATAATGAGTTCAAGGAGAGATCCTGTCTCAAAGAAATGAAACTAAACTACAAAGTAAGACTTTGTCTCAAAAAACCAATAAATAAATACAGTCATTCCTCACTATATCGTGGTTTACTTATTGCAGCTTCACTATATCA